TAATTTGAATTGAAAAAGAAAATATTATCACATGAGGGAGAACCCAGCCAAAGAAATCTGAAATATATAATAAATGCTTTTTTCCCCCTTAGAAAAAAAAAAAGAAAGAAACAAAAGGCTTGTACACCGAAGCTATAAAATATCATGGAAAGAGATTAAAGGAGGCTTAAATAGGAATATAGCTCATGTTCCTGTAATAGAAGAATTAATTCTTTTATGACCGCAATACACCCCAAATTGCACACTGTAGTTTGCTTTGTCATTTGTAGCTGCAGTTCACTCTGTATTCCACTATTTGCACATAGAGCCCATAAGAAATGCAAGAGAAGGGGAGGGGACAGCAGAGGGTGGGAGACAAGGATTCAGTTGTGTGGAGGAGCAGGAGAGCATTGATTTGTTAACTTTTTCCCCCCCACAACCTTCATTTACCCCCTATAAATGTGATTGTTTATCTTTAGATTCAATGGTATTATTTAAACACAGTAATCTCTAGGATGCTGATCTTTATGTGTGCCATTTAATTTTTGGCAACTTCCAATTTTCCTAGTTCATAGTGTGCAATGCACAATCCACATTCCCATTATTAATGGACATTTGCAGCTGTTTCTCCTCCTCTTGCGATTTTGCCCATCAGCGAATGAAGGTCCTTCATTGGCTGAAATCTTTATGCCATGCAAGTCTTAGTATAGACTCGACTTTGAAGAGGCACCTCTTCCCCAGTGGTGGAACCAGCTCGGAGCTGGCCTTCAGTGGGTTTTTAGAGGCTCTCAATTGCACAGGAGAAGACTGTCTATCTTTCTACCCTGGAGAAAGTGGTGGATCAAAATCACTTGCTTTGGGTTGTCAATGCAACTCCCTAACCACTAGGCAGCCAGAGTTTATTTTGGAGGGAATGGCCGGCCAGTTTGCTTCCTACTGTGTTTAGATACTGCTTTATTAGGTGAGATCCCAAAAGCAAATTAAACCAAACAAAAAATCAATTGGACTTGATTAAAGTTAAACACTTTGAACAGCACTCACCTACGACTCGACGGCACTTAACAACAACAATGCAACAAAATAACAACAACATAGAATCAACCCATAACTGTGTGGATATTAACAATTTATGGATAACATTGAGAATGGGAATCCCAGAACACTTTCATATGTGATCATAAGAAACCTATACATAGACCAAGAAGCTGTCATTCAAACAGAAGAAGAAAAAAAGTACATGGTTTAAAATCAGGAAAGGTGTGCTTCAGATTGAATCCTTTCTCCATAACCTATTCAATATGTTGAAATGACTCATAGCTGGCCCTTCAGTGGGTTTTCAGGGGAAGTAAAATACATAGGAGGGGAGTGACCATCTTACTCCCACAAAGCAGCTGGTGAATTTGAACAAGGAGCTTTTGGATTGGGAATGCAACTCTTTCCCACTAAGCCCCCAGAGTTCCCTGGTGGCTGAATATTACATGTTCAATACATATGTTGAGCAAAGATTTTGAGAAGCTCGATTAGATGAAGAAGAACGTGGCATCAGGATTGGAATAAGACTCATCAACAACCTGTTTTACGCTGTTGACACAACCTTGCTTGATGAAAGTGAAGAGGAAACATTTGCCACAGAAGATAAAAGACTGTAGCCTTCAATGTGCATTACATCTCAATGAGAAGAAAACAAAAATCCTCACCACTGGGCCAATGGGCAACATTATGAGAGATGACATAGCTTAAGTCAACAATTTCATCTTAACTTGGATCCACTACCAACACCCATGGTAACAGCATTCAAGAAAAGAAAAGATGTGTTGCACTGGGAAAATTGGCTGCCCAGGGCTTCTCCAAAATGCTAACGAGCAGGGATATCAGTTTAGACACATCCCTGACACAAGCCATGATGTTTTCAATTACTCCCTCTTGCATCTCAAAGTTGAATAATGACTAAGGATGATAGAAGAGTCAATGCCTTCGAATTGTGGTGTTGGGGAGAGGATTGTCTAGTGGACTACCAAAAGGGCAAAGGAGTGTGTCTAGGAGGCAAGGATGTTGGACCCTTGCCTCACAAACTTTGGGTATGTTGTAAGGAGGGGCAAATCCTTGGAAAAAGACATCACAGTAAAAAAAAAAAGTGGAGGGTCTAAGAAAGAGAGGAAGACCCTCAACCAGGGGGATTGATGTGGTGGCTGAGACAGGGTCAGGAACAGAATCCGACAGTGATGAATCAGTACCAGAGCTTGAGGAACAGGATTCCACACAGGCAACCACACAAGAAGCACAGCTGGCGGCAGCAGCTGGAATCCATGAAGAACCAGTCAGTAAAGCAAAACAAAGTCGGAGTGGAAAGAAGGCTAGGAAGGCGATGTCCAAACTGGGACTTTGACAAGTCACAGGGCTTACTATAGTCACTATCCGGAAATCTAAGAATATCCTCTTTGTCATCACAAAACCAGATGTTTATAAGATCCCAGCTTCAGATACCTACATAGTTTTTGGTGAAGCCAAGATTGAGGACTTATCTCAGCAAGCACAGCTAGCAGCTGCTGAGAAATTCAAAGTTCAAGGTGAAGCTGTCTCAAACTTTCAAGAAAACCCACAAATTCCAACTGTTCAAGAGGAGAGTGAAGAGGAAGAGGTTGATGAAACAGGTGTTGAAGTTAAGGATATAGAGTTAGTCATGTCACAAGCAAATGTGTCGAGAGCAAAGGTGGTCCGAGCCCTGAAGAACAACAGTAATGGTATTGTAAATGCTATTATGGGATTAACAATGTAGCCATCTGGGAAAATGAGGACTTTTTTTTGGTGTTTCAAAAGAGTAACTGCAGTTTGGTTTGAAATTTGTACTGTTTCTATCATTCATTAATAAAGTTATGGACTCTGTTGGATGAACAAAAAAAACCAAACCTTCAGACTCAGAAAACCCATTGGAAGGAAGGTAAGCAATGAGTGCACAAGACTTTAGTAGTTTCATTGTTGTTGCTGTTTTATGCCATCAAATTGGAACTGACTCATAGCTGACCCTCCAGTTGGTTTGCAGAGGCAGTAAAGTGCACAAAAGGAGATTGTTCATCTGTCTCCCATAGAGCAGCTGGTGGATTTGTACCCTGTGCCTTCGAGACTGTAACATAGCTTCTTACCAGTAAGGCCACCAGAGTTCTTTAATCATTGTTGTTATTGTAAGTTCCTTCAAGCATCAGCCATAGCCACCATATGAATGATAGACCTGAACCCTGTCCTATCTCATGCCATCCTCACAATCTCTGACGCGCTTGAGCCCATTGCTGCAGTCACTGTGTCCAAACATCTTGTTGAAGATCTTCCCCTCTTTCGCTGACTCTCAACCTTTCCAAGCATGATGTCCCCTTCAAAGGAATAGCTTCTAGCAACATGTCCAGAGTATGAGAAATGAAGTGTTGTCATCTTTGCCTCCAAGGAGCACTCTGGCTGCACCTTCTTCAAGACATATCTGTTGGTTCTTTTGGGAGTACATGGATGTTCAGTGCTTTTCTCTAACACCACAGCTCAAAGACAGCACTTCTGGTGTCATCCTTATTCACTGTCCAGCTGTGTAGCAAGTGACTGGAAAGGACATGGCCTCGATCAGGCACACTTCAGACTGACATTAGGAAGATGTAAATATAAATGACAAATGGAGACTAAAGAGTGTGGCTGAGGATAAAGTAAAACTGAAAGTTCAAGGGTTTCTGGTCTCTTTATTTCAAGTCTGAATAGTGTCACTAGGACTCATAGCGACCCTATGCACAATACCTCTAAATCCTGCTCTGGCCTGAGCCAAACTCACTGTCTCTGACACACGTACTCTCATTACTTTAGTTACTGTGTCAATCCCTCTCACCCAGTCTTCCACTCCTGTGCTATCTGACCATCTTCCAAACATGATATCCTTCTCCAAGGATTGTTCCCTCCTGGCCCTAAATATGTGAGATGGAGCCTCAAAAATCCTTGCTCTCAAGTAGCAGCTTGGTTTCACTCTCTCCAAGACAAGTCTGTTAGTTCTCTTGACAGTTCATGGCGTGTTCAATACTCTTTTCCAACAACACGACTCAAAGACATCAATTCTTCGGTCATCTTTGGTCATTGTCAAGATTTCTGATGCATAGCAAGTAATTGTGAAGACATGACCTGGATTATTCTCTAGACTGACATACTTGCTCTTCAGCACTCTATCGAGGTCCCTGACAGCAGACTTTTCAATCGGATTCATCTTTTGATTTCCTGACTGCTAGTGCGAAGAGTGTTGGCTGTGGAACCAAACAAGATGAAATTGTTAACAATCTCAATCCCTTTTCCATCTATCATGGTGCTGCCAATTAGCCCGGTGGTGAGAATCTTTGATTTCTTGATGTTGAGCTTCAGTCTACATTGAAGGCTACAGCAAGTGCTTCAGGTCCTCCTCATTTTCAGCAAGCAGTGTTGTGTCATCTGCATATCATAGGTTGTTGATGAATCTTCCTCTAATCTTGATGCCACCCACATTCCTCCTCATAGAGCCCAGCCTACTGGATGATCTGTTCTGCATATAGATTGAACAAGTATGATACAGCCCTGGCATACACCCTTCCCTATGTTAAACCACGCAGTGTTTCCTTTTCTATTCTCATGGTTGCCTTCTAGTCCAAATGGTCTGGGATTCCCATTCTTCTCAGAGTCACCCACAGTTTGTTGTGATCCACACAGTCAAAAATGCCTTTGAATAGTCAATGGCACAGATAGACATCCCTCTGGTACTCTCTGCTTTAATAATAAACTTAAGAAATTTCTTTTAGTCTGACAAAGCAGTCTGCAGATAACCATAATAAACATATACTTGTTTTTAAAAATTGACCTTTTATTTCCTGTGAGAACACAATTAAAAATGCTGGCTATATCACCATGGACAGAACAGAAAATAATTTTTTTATAAAATGAGAGACAAAGACTAAATTAAAGGGAAGAAATGTGAAGGTTTTGTGGTTAAATAATCCTAATGAATCTAAAAATAACTCCTTGCAATTAAGAAAGCATATCTCGAATCATCACCATTGAGTTGAAGCTCACTCATAGTTGCCCCTCCCACATTGTAAATCACGTGGGACGAGACCGCCTTCTTTCCTCCATCAGACATGCTGGTGAAAAGGTGGCGCCACAGAGATGTTGCCTTTGGGTCAGTAAAACTCCCTACACCTCGTTTGTGAAAAAGTAATACCTTCTCCTAAAAAAAAAAATTAATAAATGTAAATCCTTCTGTCTTCTCTCCTTCTCCTATTTTCCTCTCCTTTCCTTTCAGGTCCTTTCATGCACAAAGCAAAAACAGCCACAGATCAGTTGGTGAATCATTTCATAATCATTTCCAAAAGACTGAAAGAAGAAAGAAAAAAAAAAACCAAAAATGCCACAGCAAAAACATTTAAATGAAGTGCAAAAACTACACTGTACATTTGAACATACAAATCTAGCAGATTCCACCATAAAGAGGAACCAAATACTGATGAGAGATCCACAGTGTTCCATCTTTGAGCATATTTTATACGTATTATTTGGGAGCTCTGGCGGCATAGGGGTAAGAAGCTGGGTTGCAATCCTGAAGGCACCCTGTTCGAATCCACTAGCTGCTCCATGGGAGAAGGATGGGGAATCTCCTCTGGTGCAATTAACTGCTTCTGAAAACCTGCGGGAGGGTCAGCGATGGGTCGGTTCTGACTCCACGGTACGCAACAACAACATGTAACATAACAGGAAAACACACACTCAAAATGATCTATGTAAATGGGCACCTTTCACAGTTGACTGCCTATTTCCACATGGTTCAAGTCAACTCCAAAAAGAGGGTGCACAGTTTTCAAGTACTAGATATGCAGTTTTTTATTTTATTATTTTTGTGTGTGTGTGCCGTCAAATCAGATCTGACTGGTACAGGAGGAGATTGTCCCTCCTTCCTCGGCAGAGCATCTGGTGGATTCGAACCGTGCGCCTCTGGGATTGCAGCGCAGATTCTTGCCACTAGGCCAGCAGAGCTCCCCTAGACATGCAATTTTTTAAGCTATCAATACTCATGAAAAGTTTTCAAGCTACTCAAAATTTAGATTTACAAATTTCAAGAGGGAAAAGGGTGTTTAGGGATGGGAGAAAATCTAAGATGGGGAGAGCTAAATCAAATGAACAAAAAGCCGAAACACTGGCGGGCCTTCAAGTGGCTGGGAATGGTCAGAGCAATGGGTCCGTGTGCAGAGGGAATTCGCACCTTCTGCAGTCTGCTCTCCAAAGGGCTAAGGCTCTCATTATTTCAGTATGTTTGAAGTCATGCACTGAATCACATAGCAGCATTCTTTTCACTTTTGCCCTGGTGAACAAACCATGACCCAAACCCCATCAGAGCTGATAATAAATTCCACTATTATTAGCAATTCTAACTACAGAGAGGCAAAGAATTGATGGGGCCGGGACGAGAGGTCTGCCCTTTAACCAAACATGATACATTCAAGTCACCTTTCAGGCAATTTTCTGGGGCAAATCCTGCCCATGCATTTATGTGTGGTTAATGAGTAGTGAAGAGCACTTTTGACTGCTCAAAGACCCTTTCCATTTGCACACAATTAGGGTAGAAACGAAATGTGCAGATTAACATTGAACGACATTCTTTTGTTATCTTTTTTCCCTATCACATCATGCATGAAAACCAAAGGTCTCTTTGTCATAATAGAGTCTAATTTACTTAATCCCCAAATATGTAAACTTGTATTTTTCTTTCTGTTTACCATGATCTCTCAGCTCTAAGGATTAAAAGGGGGGGGGGGGAATCTAAGGTCCAGAAAGGGTTAGTACAATGGATTGCATCTATAAATCTCAAATTCACAGCTGAACAGGGGTTTGGAAAAATTTAAGTTCCAAGGAGGAGGTATGGAAGATAAATGGTAAATGTTTAATTTGGCAATTGAACTTTTTAAAAGATATATGTTTCCTGGGGGTAAAGGCAGCGGACAAACTTTCCAAATGCATTTTAGCTTCAAGTCAGCTTGCAAATTAGTGTGGATATGAATATGGTGCTTAAAGACATCTTGCTGAGGAAAGATACCGAGGTGCACAGGCAGTGATTGTGTGAGCGGAGTCAGAGGAGCTGCCGGGGCGGTCTTCTGGTTCAGGGGAAAAGATGGCTATGCAGAAGAGGACATTTTCTTTTTGGCTCAGGGGAGTCAGGGAGGCTTCAGAGAGGAGGTAGAATTAGCTGAGCCTTCCTTGAAGCTAAGCTCCGATAGTCCTTCCAGCTCTTATACTTGTTAGTTGTGACAATTGAGTCAATTGCGACTCATAATAACCCCAAGAGTGTGACTAGAACTGTGTTCCATTGGGTTTGCATGGCTATGACTGCTTGGAAGCCTAAAGCAGTTGTTCAAAGCACCTCTGGATGGATTTGAACTGCCAACCTTTCAACTAGTAGCCTATCTACCAGGACCATCCAGTACAGTCTATTCCGTCACTTGCCATATTGCTGTCCAATTCAATGTTCTTAGCTAAGAACGGAAAGCCTTTTGATTTCTAGCTAGTGCTTTCTATCATGTGGACAGCCTAAAACAGCCCTGTATGTGAATTTACTTCCTCTTCCATTTACTGTTTATTTAGTTCAATAAAAACAGAAAAAATATATATATAGATCAAGAGTCCCAGACAATTGAGAAGAATATATAGCCCAGACTCAGAGAATGGTTTGAGAAATAATGTAAACATTACATCCAAAGTCAAGACATCTTAAAGATACTCTTGGGAGAGAATAAGCCT